AGTTCACGGCAAAGTTCCAATGTTGCCAGCCGGCAAATAACTTGGAACTTACGACAAACTGCAATTGTTTGAACAATGCAAATCCAACGAGGAACCAAGTGGGTACCGAAGGGCGATGAAGATGCAATTCGACAAGCGACACCCAGGGCACAGGCCTGGTATTGGGCTAAACGATCTGGTGCTGTGCGGAAGGGTCTGCCAATTATGGACAAAAGGATCGTTGGGCCTTTTAGTGTTTTCAAGATATTGGTACAGCAAAGTGTGCTCAAGATCGTAGGCTATCTTGATGAAGGACAAGTTGAGTTTGCTGCTGCATGCAACGGTCTTCGCTATCAGCCCAGGAGGGTTGAAGGAAGAAAAATGAGAGGAGTGTAAGGAAGAAGACGGAAAGAAGAGACAAGGGTTCAGTCCTTGGAGGTGGAGGAAGAGAAAGAACTGAAATAAACAGGAATGGCAACCGTGTTGGTTCTGTGATTCCCGGTGTCGTTACTTTGTATAGTACAGCAATTGTGTAAGAAAGAGAAATGATGAGGAGGTCGCATGCCAGGCTGAGGAAAAAAACAGAATGCGAGAGTGTGAAGCATAGCTGAAAAATAAAGACAGAGAAATAGAATGACCAAAAGGCAGAAACACAAAGGAGATGAAGAAAATCAATAAAAGACGGGTGATGTGAAAAGCGCTAGAAAGATGCTATAACTCTGACGGCTGAGAAAGGTACAGCGAGGAAGAGAAAGCACGATTTATTATCAAGGGGCCAAAGTGTCTTCGCGAAACGGGACCCAAACCCACGTACCCATGATCTGAAGGCAAGCCTTTCAATCACTCGGCTATTGTCTTAATCACTCGCCTATTCTAATACGCTAGCCGAACATCTCATAGCGTTCGACAATACAGTATAGCAAGAAAGTGGGAAGATAACTGACGGTGAGGAGCAGGAAAATGAAAAGTGCAGCATTGACCAAATTAGGGAAATGAGAAGCACGAAAGGCAGACCAACGAATGAAATAGATAAAAAGAAAAGAAGCAAGAAATACTAAGAAAGAAAGCTTGGAAGAGAAATGAATAGATAGAGAGCAACAAACAAATCTATACACGGAAACCCATGTATAGATGGAAAAATAAGGACCCAGAAAATTTTAATAATTACCGATGCAGCAACACCCAGGATTTGTTATGTTATCATCATCAGTGTTTTTTTCAACATTGTGCCTCCAATACAAGGTACAGTATTTTTTTGGAAAACCTCTATCATGTACAAATCATATCTATAAAGGACTTCAAAAAAACTCTTCAAACCCAGTAGTACTTTAGTGCTCTTAAAAGACAAGCAGATCACAAAACGTATAAACTGCTACCTATACTGCACTTTTTTAAACCACCTGAGGCCGCAATTCACGTAGCATATTCTTAAGCACTCCTCAGAAAGGCTGTATCTTGATAAAGAATGAAGCATCAACCCCTTGTCGAATAGAGAGAATGTATTCTTTAAAAAAAAAACTGCACAGTTGACAGAATTGATGCAAATCTTACTGAATTTCGCACTATTCCACTCACCTACAGTGGTGAATACTGTGCAGCCCATGGAAAGAGAAATCGCGATTTAAGCCTGTCCGACGCCTCCACTAATACTGTGTATGAAGACCGACTCTGCCGGCTTAATAGCTTTTCGTAAAATTAGTGCGTAATAGGCAGTCGAGTATGCCACGGGCACAGTGGCAGCCACTTCCTTGGTCCAGGCCGCAGGAATTTTCCACATCATATCCTAATCAGCAACGACAAAACTCGCTATGGACTCGCCTTTGACACCTCCCATGACACGTCGTCCGTTCCTGTCGCGGCCTGAATACTCAGCCTAGCTATTTAACACTAACATTAGCCTAGCTATTTTGCTTGAAAGCACACATAGTGCATATGTGTTTCACTGTTTAGAAAAAATAGAACGCGTAACAGGCTTATGCGGAATGTCATATTTATGCTTTTGTTTTGATTCTCAAATCATACACATGAGTGGCAAAAAACAAATCTGCAAATATTTTCATTCTGAAAAGCTTGAACAAACAATAAGCAAAAACTCTACAAGGAGTCTAATTGTAATTTCAACACTAATATGTGAAGAATTAGAGGAAGTCCAACTACGTGCACTAAGCCCATGCATCGAAGTTATGAAGAAGAATTGCCTTAAACTTTTTTGGAAGTCTCTTAGGCGGAATATATAATACAGAGGACTGCACTCTCCTGCATGCTTTGTAGTATTTGCTTTTTAGACGGGGATAATCAATAAGGAGACGCGCCATTACTATGAGATCAAGTCACCACTAAGCCCTTTAAAACTAACATGCCAAGGATGACACGGCACCTTTGAAAAAGATAGGTCCTGTTATTGAAATGTCGGCCACCCAGCCTGACGCACTTCGACTGCTCATCTTACGATTATCCGTATACATTGTTTCCACCAGTCGGCTCCCATCAAGAATTTGGATTCACTGGCAAATGGTAGACGACTTGGAAAGGCGAAGCGGTACCGCGATACAATAGCGCATTTGCATACTGTATCTGCGTAACTTGCTAAAACATTATACTGCCACAAATGACCAGGAGACAAGTGAAGCCGACACAGGTGACAGCTTGGCGTAGATTAGAATCCCTGGTGCGACCTCAATAATCTGGCGCGATTTTATTAATACTGCTCTGGTGTGACCAGTGCAGTTCTGTCAGACATCTTCAGAACCAACTTTCAATGTATGGCTGCTTAACCTTTAGGTACAAAAAGACATACTAAAGACCACCTCGATGAATTAGCGCAGTAATGCATTTACATTTGTGACAGGACATCCTTCCATGGTCACTAAGCAGTACATCAGTAGAAACATAATGCAGAAATTTGACGTGAAGAATGAAGTCAGGAACTTTCGCAGCTGTCCCAGTACTCATAGTGGTTGTCTCGGCGCAGCGCACCAGTTGTATACGGTGGTCACTATTACCGCTTGCCAGTAGGTTTGACGAGAAGAGGCCCGCAGAGGTCGAGACCTATAATATTTCCTTTTAATTTCGAAAAGCACACATATATTCTCTTCACTGGCCTTCCATTAGTGACCAGCTAGACGGACACAGAATTTGTTCTGTGAAGCCGTCTTATATTTGAAGTATATGTGGTTTGTCTAACTTTTTTTTGAGGGAGCATCATGAGACAGAAGTGCTCGGCTTCGATTCGAAGTTATAATACCAGGCTATCCTTAAGGCAGAGGCAACTGCCAAAAAAAAGGGTTTCTGGCTTCTGGCTGGTAGGCCAGTGAAAGGATAACAGTCTTTCATTTCATTGGTCTACCACAGTCTACACGATCAGCTCGCCAATCACGAATGCAGTACTTAAGTGACAATGTCATCTGATGAGGTCACGATGACCTCTTATGGTGACGTCATATCATGGTCATTGCTTTTCGCTTGACTCTCGTTGATGCCGCCGACGCTGACAGTCAATTTTAGCATTTGATGAAGAATTTAAGGCTTCCACCTTAAAACATAAATGTTTCGTGGTTATGCGCACAGTCCTATATCAGCGAACTGTGTCCTTGCAAGGACACGGTTCGCAGTGAGTTATCTCCGTTGAAATTGAAGAGCTCGGGCATGCTAAAGAAAACTATACTCACCACGTGCAGTGTCAAAGTTCACTTTTACATTAGCAAGCATAATATCCCGGAAGTTGATAGCACTGTAATAAACGTCTACCTAGAGGCTCTTTCGGCCGATTTTATGACAAGGTGAGAGATAGGCCATTGGTGACTCGTATCACTGCAGACTCAAAAAATCTCCGGGAGTCTTGACTTCTACGTACGCGAACTGCGTTTTTGTCTTACCCTTGGCATCTGAAAATGGAATAATTACGAGTTTGTATAATGATAGGTTTGTGGCGTGGACATGTATGTAAACAACCATAAGAAAGTATGATACGAACACAGTATTATGTGCAAACGTAGTAGAAGTGGGCACTTTTTTGTATTGCTTGTTTTGGACGTGATCGACTTGTACAAAATAAATGCCTATTCACAACAAAAATGCATGAAAGAAAAGCAAGGTATCTTGGTTGTAAAATGGGCCTAAATGAACCTAATTTTTCTGTGTAGTAATATCTACCTTTACACATCAAATTTTTGTGTTGACGAAAATTGTGGTCAGTTTCTATCGAAGGACAAATAACTCTGCTGGCTCTGGCGTATAGATCTGTTATAAGCCCTCAGTTGGTAGCTTCGCTTTCTTTTTACTTGTTTGTACACTGCCGTGACTGACTGAATTCGGGCAAGCGTTCTTCCATATGCCCCATAAGGGCTGCTAATCAAACCAGCAATTAGTTTCATACTTCATGAATTCGTTCAGATAGCGTGGAGCAAAGGCGTTGGGGACGTCTAAGTGCTACCTGTGGCAACAAATGACGAGTATGTTGCTAGTAATGCCAACTTTACTGCTCTTTCTCGACACCTATTGACTATAGTCCCTTAGATTGCACGCTAATGTTTAAGCTGAAAAAAAAAGCAATGTTATTTCACAGTTTTTTAAAAAAAAAATTCAGATTTAGTTTTCTATTGACCTTGAAGCCGCCATTGAAATAGCTTCAGTGAACGTCACCAGTCGCTGGTCATTACTTGGCTACTAATGTTGTTAAGTTATCCCACCAACGCGAGTGACGATAGTTGTATGGGTTTTTTTGTGAAAATTTTAGAGAACATTTCGAAGCATGGGATTCCTGAGTGTGCGGTGGCAGACAGCAATTTTGAGGCTTTGATGGGGCTTACACGCACTCGTTGTGCTCATGTGGGGCAGTAACTTGTAGCTATCATAAAAAACAGCGCACGATTTCAGCGTAGGCATATAATTCTTTCTTTAGAAGTGAAACGCGAATGTTTTAGTAAGTCCTAAGGAAAACATGAGAACGCATTTCGATAATCAGAGTGCCAAACACGCCGTAACAAATAGAAACAGATGAAGATACAAAGTTGGACACTCACTGACGGTGCGGTTCCGGTAGGATCTCCAATGGCCATCCTGGTGGACGTTCATGACCAGGTCTTTTTCTACTATGTTTTTATAGGCTAGGCTGGCTACGCTGTTGAAACCTTCCGAATTGACGTCGAATACACCGCTGTGTGAAATAGAATTTAGAAGTCAGGACATACGAGATATCAGTACCCTTTCTGTTCTTTAACTGAAAATACCGTGATGAACAATGCGCATTGTCCGCTAGCACGCAGTGAAACAATGTGGCGATGCGTGTTCAGCCTTATGTTTTTAAGTACAACTCTACTCGTGAGTATACACCCCATTTGGAAGTGCGTCAGCTTTGCTATCATGTTTCAAATAATGAACCAATTACTGATGTGCAAGCTTAACTGCTGATGAGTAACGAATAACACTTAAAAGTCGTCAAAAGCCGGGCTACTGCGTGGTGTGTAACTGAACTAATGTTAGACCAAAGATGCGCCGAAACATTCGTTCTACAGTAGTACACCTGTAGCGTAGGTATTATCACATAATTATTCCTCGCTACCATGGTGACCCTATGAAAAAACATAAGGTAGGTTACTAAACTACAATGCTCGATCAGAAGGAAGATAAATTTAGGTTGCGCTAAACACATGGTATTGCAATATATATGAGCCTTAAGGAGTCGTCACTCTAAATATCTGATATCCAGCGATGCACTGTGCGTAGACCTTGGCGTAATGCCCCATTCAAGCGCGCACTTAATACAGGGGTCAATTCTTGCATTACCGTCAAGGATCCAGCTGAAGTCAATCTGGTCTTAACTGTTGACCAAGTAAAAAGCAGTGCTTTCCTACAACTGCAGCGCGAAAGTGCATATGTCGAAAGAAAAACATACTTTCAAGCATCGACAAAGTGGAATAGCAGCGCCAGAAGCTCTTTCTGCGTCGCAACAATTTTTTTTGAAGGCAGCCTTCTCTTTACGTAGTCTATAAAGACGAATTTCGGTTTTCCTTGCAGTGATCGCTACCTAAAAATGTTCTATGATGCATTGCTACGGTGAACTCTTTTATATATGTCATTTGATATCTAAAGATAGCCTGGCAGATGGTATGTGGAACTCTTTATATAAAAGCTGGTCGAATAATAAATTTCAGAAACGAATTCACATCGCAGCCTGCACATCTTCACAGACTTCACAGCCTTCACATCCTGCACATCTCCGTAAAAGAAACAAAGCAACCCGCTGAGATAAATACGCACCGAATGCGACCACCAACGTTCTCCTTTCGAAGGCAGTTGGTTAAACCAAGGATGCCACTTGTACAGGCGTCTTCAGCGAGTAGCCATATATTATCTCATGTGCGCTTCGTGTCAAGTTCTGCTGATTTATGCTTCAAAGACTCAACCTAATCAAACTGCCCATTTTGTACACTGATAACTGCCTGCTTGGTGACATCGACAGCTATGGTAACTTTCCTTAACAGTAGGAGTGTTGAGAGGTTGTTCGACTTCAGGGCAACCATCCGAAATTCACGACCACTGAACGCTGCAGCCATGCTTCCTCAGTGTGAACTTGAAAAGGGACCACACTCATTTGAGAAAACAATACCTCAGCTGCAGGTGGGGTGGTCCGGTGAGATAGGAGAACAAAGCCGTGTTCCATGCAATGCGAGGCCATCGTTCCTGCCAAATCATTCAGATCACCAGAAGAATTCAACATGCCGCAGAATGTACCACTAAATCAGCCCGAGTTGTTTTTCTTCTGAGGCCAAATAACGACCCCCTAAAACCACCAGCTTGTTCTCGGGCACATTTTGCGACACGAGGCTGACTGTGTTCACTCTTGACACTGCGTACTCTGTGTTGAGGCACACATTGTACATGGAGAGCAGAGCAGATACCCGAGGACCCATGGCTGCTACACTCTTGTCACTCGCGATCTCGAGCACAGATAGCTTAATGAGCTTGTGTTTTCACCAACTACATCAATGACATCTCGTAGGGGGTCTTCCTCTAGGAGTGCAGTGCTCAGGATATCTTCTTCGAGGGGATTGGCGTTAGACAGCAATGCTATTTGCAGTGTTGAAGCCAGTGTCGCAGGATCAAATGCCTCTTTCTGCCTTGCTATCAGGAACTGTAGTAGGCTTTGATTCTGCTCTATGTTCTCGACATAGTGGGTGAGGAGTTTTTCTGCCACTTCCACAGAACTGTTCAAGGTGGCCTCGAAAAATGGCTCGTTTTTTCTACGCTGAACTTCTGCAAGCCTCGGCGGATGCAGTTGCATACGCCAGCATATTCCCGTAAAAGGTCTTGTCGATGACGACGGGCTATTTCATCATTCATATACGGGACAAAGCGGTGTTCTTCTATGATTGGAATGTGGGCTACTCGCCGCCGCTGCATTGTGTTCACTTTTGTGCCCTGTACTTCAACGCCACCAGCACGGCGTAAGTTGTGGTAGGAGTCGTACACTAGGTAGGAGTCCTGTACACATACAAGGGGAGGGGGAGAAGGAGGTGTAATGGGACATACTATGCAAAAACAAAATGTTCTGCTATATTTTTAATCGTTTTCAGTTCTTATGTAAACAGATATACACTGTGAAAGAATACTGTTCAGCCGCTTTGTTATCATATTTTACCAAATGTTTTATTGCCAAGTTCACGTTATTGGTAAATAAATTCATTTTTATTATTGGTCTCTGAAGTAGTGCATAGCACTATTCCCGCGTAATATTTAGTTGTTCTTGTACATCACAGAAGCTGACTACATTGTGTCCTTACTAGTTATTTGCTGGGAGTTCAGGCCCATAGCTCTCTTCTAAAATTTTGAAAGAAAGAGAGAGTTAAACATGCAACGAAAGGCAGGGAGTTTACCCAGACGCACGTATAGTTTGCTACTCTGCGCTGTGAAGGGTTTAGGGGGAGAATATATATAAGAGAAAGAGAAGAAAGGTACACACAATTACGAGAACACACGGGAGAGCACACGCAGTCGACAGGTGGTCACTCAGGTTTGTTGTCTTTAATAATGTAGTAGCGCTTTATTCACTTTCTGCGCAATTTAGGCACACGCCCTAGGTCCCAGAATCTGCTGCACAGAGAATAGCCTGTAGTCCTATTGGTTCAAAACCATCCGGAGCAAGCATCGCTGCGTGTCGTAGTAAGCGCAGCTTCACAGGACGTGTTCGATGGTCTCTTCAGCTATGCAGGAGTCGCATGTAGAGTTGTCTGCTATACCGATGCGGAATGAGTACACCTTTGTGAAATTTTCGAAAGCTTCTCATATAATTGTATACCTTCAGCAAATGTCATGATGTTCCTATCTTGCCAAGAAAATACCAGAGGATTTCACTTGAGACAGACGCTATAACCGTGTTATTGGGTATCTTTTTGCAGGCAAAACTCGTGTTCCACTCCTAAAGCCAGTGAAGTCACATAAAACTAGCAATTTCAGCCTCGAGACGCTAGAGAGGTTCACAAAATTTGCAGATGTCACATTTCCCAATACCTCGAATGTCTTTCGTATATCTCCGTGCATATATTCGTGAGAAGCTGAACGCTAAAGTGCGTGTTTCAGTGTGTTTTCGCTCGTCATTTTGTTGACTCACTGATTGGTTTGAAATGTTTAGGGAAAAATTGCTGATTTTTATTTACTCTTCTGGTTGAAGTAATATGCAAAGGCGAGCTAGTTGGTTGAGCATCTTACTTATTTTTAGCCACACTGGCACGGGACAAAAGAAACAAAGGTACAAAACCAGCGCTACTATAAAACAGCAGTGTTATTTCAGAAAAGAACCTTTATATATCCAGTAGTCACAGGCTTTCTAGCGGGCACCATCGAATTTCCCAAATTTGTCGATCCCTGACCCTGGAATTTGCGTGAGCCAATTGTAAATTTTTAACACTCTGCGAAACCTGCGCAACTTTTGTCTTCACCGAAATGCACCCGCCATCACGGCCATTCCTACCGCCGCCCTTTAAATTCAGCAGTCAAGCCCATCGCCACATAGCAGTCAAGCACCATCGCCACATTGTGTATGTAGTGGTTCGGTTAAGGCAGCTCTTCACCTAACGTCGTGTCTGTTGTTGGCGATCACTATTGACAGTGATATTTGTAGCGGAAAGTTTTGAGGAAATGTTGATGTTGGGATGATGGTTCGAATGTTTTCAAAAAGCGCGACTTGTTAGAACGAGAACCAAGTAGTTGGTAGCGCCACAGAGTGAATCAACTTTTTGAGAATAAAAACGAATGTCTAAAATATTTGTTTCTGTTGTAAGTGAGCAATCAGGGTCTCCTGTTTTACACTATGCGTGATTGAAGCTCCAAGGGCATTGAAAAAGAACGCAGCACTCTCCACCGATTTGTTAAGGTGTTTATTAGCCGGCAACCAGCGATCATACGCCATGGCGACAGTCACGGCCAAGCACGGACTCTCAGTGCGAGCGGCGTCCTTGTTGGGTAACACCACTAGGAGGTACTCAAGTGTTCGACCCATTTCAGAGTTCGGGGGCTTCGCTACAATATATATATATATATGTATATATATATATATATATATATATATATATATATATATATATATATATATATATATATATATATAGATAGATAGATAGATAGATAGATAGATAGATAGATAAAAGAGGTATACTTTACTGGCAAAATGTGCCGAAGTGTTTGTCCTGAAAGCATGGTCGGCAATTGGCTAGTTGGTATGAATTTATTACGGACAAGGTAGCACAAACCTGTTTTCGTTGAGAGTAAGCGCTTCTTGTGCATCATTGTCTGTCCCAGTTGTTCGCGCTGCTTAAACAGTCACTGACTCTGGTATTTCAACAGGTGGAGATGCAATCATACTTTGTTCTGAATATTAGGGTTCATGACACTGCGCATTCTGCCGTTTCCTCCTCTGTCAATAATAAAGCTACCGTGCACGTTCCCTACTTGACGTCGTCATGGCGTTTTTTTCATCGACGTGGTCTTCATAATGACACTTTTCCCGTTGACCAATCACAGGTTTCATAAGTTAACATGCAAAAGTATTGTAAGAATTTTATTCTTGTTGGCAAATCCCTGATGTCTGTCACACGAGTTCATGACAGCTTTGTTAACAGCTTTTCATTCTTGATCGCAGCTTCTCTTAAAATCTGAGTCAGTTGTTATGCAATCATATTTATTACTGGATAGTGCCCACGAAAAATTCGGCAGATCCCACGTACCTGGGAATCACCTTTATGCGCAGCCCCTGGAGAGAAGGTGACCATGTTGCATTTTTTTAATTCAGCGACACGTCATGAAATGACCATAAATATATGTACAAATGTTGCACGCAGAGACATATGTCGAAGAGCACATGGGTGTTGAAGAGTTGTGGATGTTTGTGTAACCAGTGTTCCACTAGCACAATGATGTTAGCTGGAAATGTGCTTTAGCAACACCAGACGCTGAAATGAAGCGCTGATGCGCGAGCGTATGACATGCTCGCGAAGATGCTCGCCCTTCACACTGCTACATACCACAATTTCAGCGCAGGGCACCTCACCACAATTGATGTTTACGCGACATAACAGCTGTATGAAAGGAGTACCTATTAATCGTTTATAAAATTGGGTAGACAGCGCCGCAACCACTATTGACGTTTCACGAAAACGAGAGTTTTTTTTTGAAACGTAGTTCCGAGACCTGGGGTAGCTATGTGGTAGAATGCTTGACTGCCACGCAGAATACTTGGGTTCGATTCCTGCTGAGACCCTGTAATTTAATATTTGCATTCGTCGAGTGGCCAACGCTGCCTATGTCTGGTTTTCCATAACACTGACATTTAATCCATGCCTTCGTTGGGGCGACGCTACCGATGTCGGGTATTGCTTAACGCTCATGTGTTGAAGTTTCCTGTGTGTGGTCTCGTCATTCCTGGGTAGATACTAAGTATCAATCACCTGAGGCACATACCCTCTTACCAGCGGCACGTACCCGCCCGTGAATATGTGCCACTGTCTGGTAGGAAGCGTTTCACGACGTACGCAACAAGTGTGTGACATTATTCATGTCTTGACCAGCCCATCATATTTGTCAAACCATCTTACCCTCATATGCTAATTTTGGTTCACGCCAAGTTGAGGGGATGACCACGAGAGTACCCAAACGTAAGCGCCAAGATAGAAAGATAGATAGATAGTAAATAAATAGATAGGTAGATAAACAGATAGATACGCTCAAAGTCGCCAAATTCTCTAAAAAATGCATGCTTCGCATTTAATAACTAAGTACAGGGTTGTTGCATAGGTTGACTCTCCTTATTTATTGAAATAAACACAAAAACACTAGGAAGGCCACACACCACTTGACACGTT